TTTCACAAACTGAGTGCCAACGCCCGAGGTTTCCTGCCGGTGGTACGGACATCGGTTGATGGATCGTGATGAAACTACCCATGCATGTTGCGGCAAGTATTGGCTATCATATGGTATAAGAAACTTGACCGGGTCAGGTCAGGTCACGGAGCTATGACGTCACAAGAGGAACAGCGTCCGGTACTATTTTTGAAAAGCGCCCGAACCACTATTTTGCTAATTCTTGTCACCTCAATGGGAATATGCAGCAATATTAGCTTCTATAGGGAGCAAATGGCCCTTCCAAATCCAAAAATACAATCAGATTTCAAAAATTTAAATTTTGATTTTTCGAATTTCTGCCGCCGACTGTGACCTTGCCGACTTCCGGCGCTCCCAACGCGCCATTTTTAGAGCTAGGGAAACGAAATACATACCAAACGATAGAGAATTGATCAAGGAACACGATAGTGAAGGTTTCAAGTCGATATCTCCCACCGTTTTGCCGCAATCGCCGCGGAAAGTTTAAAAAATTCTATTTTTCCGAAAATTTGACCTTTGACCGGTCAAAAGTAGGTCAAATGTTGACCTAGGACCAAAAAATATACCACCGATCGCGAGATCTCGGCGAGAGCAATCCGTTGGTCTTTTCCGCTAAGCTCTACGACGCTCCGTTTTCAAACGCCAAGGGGGGGGGGGTCGCACCAACCCCCCCCCCCCCCCTGCATGGGCGAAGGTGGCAGATCGCCGTTTACGGGCGAGGGTTAAGATCAGATAATGAAACAGATGCGTGATACGCTGATACTCACTGTCGGTCCTCCAGCGGTAATGGAAGAAATGGGCGCGCGGCAGTGTCGGCACTCCCTGAGGTGACCTTGGGCGATGTGTTAGACCTGCTTTTATTACCCTGGGCAACGTCTAGATGAATATTGCTGGTTGTCTCTACAAAATTATAATAAACCCTCGTTTGTGTTCTCTAAATGGTGTTTTGAACTATTTTAACCCGCGCCCCGCTGGGCTATTCAGCCATACGCGCCCTGCTGAGGGGGGGGCAGATTCTGCCCCCCCCCCCCCTGTCTAACTTCCGAACCGATGGTCGTAGAAAGACGGGGAAAACGGCAATCGAAAGCTCTCAACAAGGCGGATCTTAAGAGCCCAAATTTTTTTGCTTAAGTAGGTCAGAGGTCAGGTCAAGGTCAGGTCAAGGGTACAAAATGCAAGTTTCTACAGTATCGGCCTTGCACCGTAGTTGCCGAAGAATGGACTGAGACTGATTGCCCAAAACGTGTTCTTAGACTACCAAGACAATATTCGTTGCATACAATGTCATTCAAAGGTCAAGGTCAAGGTCATGTCAGGTCAGGTCAGGTCACCAAAAACAAAATATAGTAAAAGGCATGTGCGACAAATGTTTTATGGGTCACTTTACTCATAGAATTCAATAGGCACACTCAATAAGTGATATGGACCACCTCTGGATGAATTTCAGGTCGAGGTCAGGTCAAGGTCAGGTCAAGTGAGGTCAAATTTTGAAGTTGGTTTTTAAGGCCTAAAAAGGTGTCTATCTGATGCAGTTTTTCACGGCGAATCGAATGGTGCTATTGTTGTTTCCGTTCGAGGTGTAGAACTTCCAAAAAATCATTTTTCAAAATTTTTGTGTGTCGTGACGTCATAAGATTTTTAATAACTCCCACATTTTTGAACCGATTCTTCTAAAAGTTTGTATATAGGTCACATAGACCACTTCTCTGACATATATTCCGTTTTTTTATACACTCAAAATTTTGGATTTTATAATTATTTTCCCAAAAGTCAGTTTTTTGAAGAAAAAAAATTGGGCCAAAATCAAACATTTTCAAAAAACCGAGATAGCCATTTGATAGACAAAGTGAAATCACGCATAACCTTTTTGTTACGTCTTGATTCCTTTAAAAATGAAGATGTTAGCGGCGTTTGAAATTTTGCCGTTTTTGAGGCGAAAATGGCGAACATGACGTCACTAAAACGTCAATTTCTCAAACATTTTCCGACGGATTTCGCTCAAATTTTCAGGGAACGTGTCAAATTGATGTATGATAAGGTACCGAAAGTTTGACGTCGCTGGCGTAACGCGTTTAGAAGTTATTGGCGAAAAACGGGAGGGGGGCAGATTCTGCCCCCCCCCCCCCCAGCGGGGCGCGAGTTAATCACGTATAATAGCATCTATTTTCTCGAGCACGTTTTGTTCCATATCATTGCCGAGCACTAGTTTGAACTGCTTGCCCAATTCACTGCCTTTCGATCTGTTCGCTAGTCTCGGGGTATATGTTCCGGTCTTGTAATCGAATGGTTGTGGGTTCGAGGCGGGGTTGGCGAATATTTACACATGGCGTTCAACTTTTATCAGTAAGCCGCCGTCTATAAAGACATGCTAATGTAATTGATTTTGCAGCAGACGGATAAGTTTTGAAATAAAAGGTGGGCAGCATTAATACTGCCCACCTAAATCGGCCGCATTAATACCGACCGGCAAGGCGGCCCGCATTAATGCTGATCTCCGGTCAGTATTAATGCGGGCCGGGCAGCATTAATACGGGCCGGGTTTTCAAACGGGCCGTAACATATATACCAATGTGAAGCAATCTTTAATTTAGCGTAAATCTGGCTGGAGGTTGTTCCCTTTATGACGTCATAACTCCGTGACCTGACATTAACTTGACAAAAAAAAGTTGCGCAAAGGATGCCCCAAATGGTACTGAAAATTTGAGCAGGCTATCTGAAACGGTTCGGCGTGTAGCTAAGAAAAGCCACAGGGGGGGGGGTTGCACCCCCCCCCCTACATGGGCGAGGGTTAACCCTATTAGTGGCAGGCTCCTGGCTACCCCTATTAGTGACAGGGGGGTCTGTTTACGACCCCCCCCCCTGATAGGTATCTCGAGATCTAACGGGCCGATTTTCAAAATTCAAACGGCATTCGATTTCGCTCAACGTGATCTACATTTCTAAGAAATAAAAATTAAAAATGTCAATAGGGGGGTAGAGGGGAGTAAAAACGGGCAAATTGCAGATACATTTTAGACTGTTTATCACGGCCAGGTTTCTGAACCAATCTTAACGCAACTTTTGCCGATCAATAGAGAATGAACCAGGAATTCACATGGATCCTAAAAACATGCATTTTCAAAAATCATAGGCGGATACAGATCATTGAGATTGGGGGTACACAAAAAGTATAGTAAGTAAGGTTTTTGTTGGTACTGTTTCTAAAAAGGGTGGTAATGGTCTTGTTATGTTACAATTTTCTTATGGGAGAACGACTACAATTGTATTGGTCATGCATAGGCGGTGTCAGGGCACCTATGCTGGGAGGTAAAACATAACCCCCTTTTTGGACGCCTGGATCCGCCTATTATAGCAAAAACGTGTCAAAAGAGGATGCACAATAACTTTGTATATGTTATCACATGATACCTTTCATTCACTGTTCGTAAAACTGGTGCAGCATCGTGATCTTCGCCAAAATGACTCGCTTCACGAATAGGACCCCCAATTCCCAGTGCTCTGGAGCCGCCCCTGGTAAAGTTATGAACTTGAAATTTTCAGGGAATGTGCCCAATTTAGTTTTAGGAAAAGTCAGAAAATCTCAGCATCGTAGCTTCAGCGGTTTCGGATATATTCCCGAAAAACCTGAGGGGTGGATAAAAACAACCCCCCTGCCACTAATAGGGCTAACCCGCGCCCGGCTGGGGGTCCTGGATTTCCACGCCCTGCTGGGGGGGGGGGGTGTTTGAACACCCCCTTGTAACTTGGCTCCTGGGCCACGTAGCGATACGCGGAAGGCGGCGTTCGAAAGAGCGTCAAAAATAATGACGAAATCACTTTGGTCAATTTTTTGGTCAGGTCAAAGGTCAGGTCACCAGAGGTCATTGAAGGCAAAATTTCGCCGATTTCCAAGTCGAATGTCGACAATTTCCAAGAAGCCAACGCATAACTCGGGAACCAATAGAGCTGCAGCGCCGCGGAAAGGCGCATTCGATAGCCCTATTAACGCCCTTTCTGAACAATAGTCTCAAATTTGACCTAAGGTCAACGGTTTTGCCTGCAGGGGGCAAAAACTGCAAAAATAGCCGATTTTTTTCGGAAACAGTTTTTTCTGCAATAACTTTTGACCCAAGCGCTGTAAGAGCTTACTTTTACCGGCATCGTGTTCCTCTCGTCAAGACGCGTCGAATGAACTATATCTTGACCTTTAAAGGTCAACTTGAAAATTTGACCTCAGGTCAAGGTCATGACCTGACCGGAAAGGGTCATGTTGCATATCAGTCGATCCGTATCGTCGAGCTGAACACACCTAAGGCGTTTTCATCGCTCTAGCATGCCTCTATCAAAAGTTATTTGCGAAAACATAAACAAGGGTCAAGGACACCATTTTCATGTTCAGCGTGTCTAAACCACTTGTGATTCGGTGTTTGGGAGTGTTTATAATGTCTTTCGTCCAAAAGAGGCGCATTTCAATTTTCTCCCATTGACTTATAATGGGGAGGTCGAAAAATTGACCTGACCTTACGTCATCGATATCAAAATTCTGAGATATACATTTTGTACATGCTATTGCTCTTATCAATCGCTGAAAGTTCCAAAGCGATCGGTCACTCGGTGTAGCTATGACAGACATTGAAACTTTTTATGAGGTGAGGTCACTTCAAGTGACCTGGTGACCTGACCTTGAATGACCTTGGTCTGAAATTTTCACAACATGTGTAGAATTGATGTATGATAAGGTGTACCAAAAACGACGGCACGGAGCGCCGCCGTTTTTGAGATATTCGCGAAAAACCACAAGGTGGGGGGGGGTGTTCAAACACCCCCAGCAGGGCGCGGGTTAAATAACGGTGTTGAGTGTAAACTATTGCGTAGATGTCGGACATCTTTGGACAAATGGCTGGCTTGGACATTTTTGGACGGACGGTCGGCGTAAGCATTGGACATTGGACAGACATTGGACATATGTTTTCTGAAATTGACATCCCTAGTTCGGAGCCTCACCCATTGGCCGGGGCTTCTTCTTCTTCTTCTTCTTCTTTTTCTTCTTCTTCTTCTTCTTCTTCTTCTTCTTCTTCTTCTTCTTCTTCTTCTTCTTCCTCTTCTTCTTCTTCTTCTTCTTCTTCTTCTTCTTCTTCTTCTTCTTCTTCTTCTTCTTCTTCTTCTTCTTTTTCTTCTTCTTCCGGGGTGGCCGCAGCGCCGGCAGCAGTCGATCCAGTTGCGGCGGCCGGTGGTGCTGACGGGGCCGGGGTGGCCGCGGCGCCGGCACCAGTCGATCCAGTGGCGGCGGCCGGTGGTGCTGACGGGGCCGGGGTGGCCGCAGCGCCGGCACCAGTCGATCCAGTGGCGGCGGCCGGTGGTGCTGACGGGGCCGAGCCGGAGCTGGCCGGCTCAGGCGCCTTGGGGGCGGACGAGTTGGCCGGAGTAGGTGGCTTGGCCGCGGCGCCGCTCTCGCTGGAGGCCGGCTTAGACGCGGTGCTACCGAACGACGGCCATCCACCGAACACTGAGGATCCGGAGCCGAACGGAGACGACTGGGCACCAGAGGCCAAACCAAAGCCGCCGAACAGAGAGGCGGGCTTGGAGTCAGTCCCGGAGCCGCCGAATATCTGGTCTTCTTTGGATGTCTTGTCGCCGGTGGTCGCCCCACCGAAGAGAGATGCAGCTTTGTCAGTTCCCTTTCCTCCGAACACCGATGGGGTACCAAAGATGGACGTGGTTTTGGCTTCGGAAGAGGGCGTTCCTCCGAAAATAGACGCAGGTTTGGTTTCAGTTGACGACGCTCCTCCGAAGATCGAAGTTGTCTTGTTACCCGATGAACCTCCAAATATTGACGTGGTCTTTGTGTCCGCTGCCGCCGCTCCTCCGAAGATCGAGGATCCAGACTTGTCGGCGTCGCCGCCGAATGAGAATTTGAACGGCGACGAGGCTGCGGACGAGACGCCGAACTCGAACGTGGCCTTGGGAGTCGCCTCGACGACCTTACCCTGGTCGACGCCGAACGCAAACCAAAACGGGGCAGCCTTGAAATGGAAGGAACTGTAGGGAGTGGCCGCTCCGGCGCCGGCGGCGGGGGCGGAGGTCACGACGCTGGAGGTGGTGGTATTGGAGACCGCGGCGCCAGAGCCAGAGGTCGAGCTGACAGGTCCCTCCTCCGTGGTGTTCTCGCCCCTTGCCTGCGATGGAAAACGGTGCAGGGGCGGCTTTAGTTCAGACATCCAGTTGAACACATCAGTAGTTGAACACATGAAAATACAATATAAAATAAAGGAACAATGACAAGGCCAAGGGAACACTTAGCCCTCGCTGGACCTTTTATATTTTCTACATACTCGCACGTGCCGGCCGATGGAAGGGGGGGGTACGAATCCCCTCGCCGTTATGCTCCTGATGGAGCTCAAGAGCGTTGCGGAAAAAACGAGCGTGTGCCCTGTTACCATACGCAGTAAATGATACCCGATTATAAGTCCGCGCCCCGCTGGGGGTCCTGGATTTCCACGCCCTGCTGGGGAAGGGGGGGGGGGCTCCCCCAGCACTCACCGCACCCGGCTACGGGCGGTGCTCGGCTTACGGGCAATCCCGCATGGGATAAAGTTGCCCGTCCAGCCCGGATCAGGGGGTTGCGGCGTGGAGGAGAAGGATTTGACTATCCTGAGGATGGAAACGATGGAACGGTGCGGATATCGATGGAGGCAGATATAGTCACTATAAGCTGAACATTCCATGAGCAAGGTTAGCAGGCGAACTGGCGACGAAATGGAGAGTGTGGTACTTTTATCTGGGCAGACAATAGTGATGGACAGAGGGTGTCGAGAAACTATTAGCCACGTGCCTCGGGAAAGGTAGTGAGCCCTGGGGGCATCGTTCGTAGCTGGCTGACGGTTTGTGTTCTGACTGACTGACCTTGGCCGGTGTGCTGGTGGCGCCCTCGGCGGTCGGCGGACGGAACGAGAAGCTCGGCGTGCTCGGCTGAGCAGGTGGCGCTGTGGTCGGTCCAAAGCTGAAGCCAGTGGAGGCGGCAGCAGAGGCGCCGGTCGTGGTAACGCCAGTCCAGGCCGACGGTGCCTGGTCGAGCTTGATACCGCCGTCCGCGCTGCAGACCGTCCCGGTAGAGGGCGTCGTCTTACTAAACCCCGACCCGAAGATGGTGGAAGCCGTCGTGGCGGGGGCCTTGCCATCGCAGGAAAACAGCTGCGGTATGGGGAGCTGCTGGAGCTGTGGTGCCGCCTGCATCTCCAGCTGCTTCTGGTTCTTCATCTGGTCCACGTCCAGCTGCTTCTGGTTCTTCATTTGGGCACCTCCAGCTGCCGAAGGGGCAGAAGGAGTGTCAGAGGTGGAGACTTCAGTGACAACGGGACACTATCTAGGAGCACGATACGCAAGAATGCATGCACAACACTTACCGTTCCTTGCAACGTGATGAGATCCGACACAACATACCGGCGATGGTTAAATCAACAAGGGTGTGAGATAAACATGGTCAGCACAGTGAAGGTCTCTGCCATTGATGATGCGGTCGGACATTGTTGTGACTGCACAGGCCACCCACCGCCGGGTTTGACGGACCAGCAGCGCTCCGTCCCAGTGGGCCTGAATCGCCGTCCCCCTGACTCACGCTCAGCTCCTGCAGCTCTCGGCGCAGCTGCCGCAGCTCCTCGTTCAGCATGTCGCGAACGTCGGCCAGCACCGCGTCCCGCAGCTCAAGCTCTGCGGAACTCTGGGGCCGGGTGTGCGGGCCGGCCGCCGGCGGCGACTGCTGTTCCGTCAGAGTTATGGCGGCTTCCTTCAGACCCTGCAGCTCGTCGCACAGGCGGTCCATGAGGGGACGCACCTCCTGAGCGGAAGGTACAGGTCTCGGGTCAGCCACACCCTCAGGTCCGCCAGAAAGTGTCTGATTCCTTGGATAGGGCACAACAATCATAAACACATACATACCTACATCCGTGACGTTTCATGGTAGTCAAAAAACCCTAATTCGTTTCTTTTATGTGGAAGTTCCATCCCAGGTCTCTTCTCCCTGCGCACGATTCGACCACTGTCCTGACCTCGACCCAAGGTCAACACCTTCAATCCGCGACCCACTGCACTGGGGGTTTTCTGCAATAGCTTCTAAACCGCTTGACGTATCGCCGCCAAACTTTCAGTACCTTCGGCTGCATCAATTTGATACTTTTTTTTAAATTTCAACTTCGTATCTATCAAAAGTCGGCCGGAAATGACGTCAGAGTGACGTCATGTTCGGCCGATTTCGACGCAAAACATTGAACCATTGGAATCGCTCCCAAGAGCTCAGTTTTTAACCCGCGCCCCAGTGGCGGTCTCAGCCAACTTCGCCCTAGTGGGGGGGGGGGGGGGGGGGGCATTTGTTACCACCCACCTCTAACTCAAAAACTAAGAGGGCTAGAAAGACGCGGTAAAAAGCAGTCGATAGCTCTCAATGCGTACGTTTGAAAGTATTTCGGTCATTTTTCACCTTAGAGCAACATTGGGGTCACCAGACGTCATCAAAGGTCAAAATTTGCCAATTGTCATGATATTTTTTTTCAGAAAACATGCCGCTATCTCAGAAACTATGGTAGCTAGAAAAAAAAACATGGAAAAGCAATCGATAGCTTTTGAACTCTTCTTTTGAAAAGGTCGTTATCGATATTGACCTCAGGTCAACGGTTTAGCCTCCAGAGGGCAAAAACTCCAAAAATAGCTGTTTTTACGAAAAGTGTTTTTCGACAATAACTTTCGACTACCAAAAGCCACCACATTTTATTAACAGAATCGTGTTCCCCTCGTCCAGACGCGTCGAAAGAACTATAACTTGACATTGAAGGGTAACTTCAAAATTTGACCTCAGGTCAAGGTCATGACCTTACCGGAAAAGGTCATGATGCATATCAGTCGATGCGTCTCAACAAGACAAACACAATGAGACGTCCCCCTGACTCACGCTCAGCTTCTGCAGCTCTCGGCGCAGCTGCCGCAGCTCCTCGTTCAGCATGTCGCGAACGTCGGCCAGCACCGCGTCCCGCAGCTCGGCGGAACTCTGGGGCCGGGTGTGCGGGCCGGCCGCCGGCGGCGACTGCTGTTCCGTCAGAGTTATGACGGCTTCCTTCAGACCCTGCAGCTCGTCGCACAGGCGGTCCATGAGGGGACGCACCTCCTGAGCGGAAGGTACAGGTCTCGGGTCAGCCACACCCTCAGGTCCGCCAGAAAGTGTCATTCCTTGGATAGGGCACAACAATCATAAACACATACATACCTACATCCGTGACGTTTCATGGTAGTCAAAAAACCCTAATTCGTTTCCCTAATAAGGAAGTTCCATCCCAGGTCTCTTCTCCCTTCGCACGATTAGACCACTGTCCTGAGTCCTGACCTCGACCCGACCCTCGCCGGCACAGGTCATTTTGCGTCCTTCGACGGCACACGGGGGGGGGGGGGTACGACCCCCCTCGCCTTTGGCCCCTGATCGAGCTAGAACTTCACGGTAAAAACGAGCGTGTTGCCCGTCACGTCAGAAAGCCGTTGATACCCAATTTTAACCCTCGCCCATGTAGGGGGGGGGGTGCAACCCCCCCCCCCCTGAGGCTTTTCGGAAATAGTGCAAAAACGGCGTCGCGCAGCGCCACCAAATTTTAGGTACCTTATGCGGCAAACCTTGCGCATCTTTTGATAAAAAAATTTGACTAGGTCATGTCAGGTCACGGAGTTATGACGTCACAAAGGGAACAGCCTCCGACCAGATTTTCACAAACTGAGTGCCAACGCCCGAGGTTTCCTGCCGGTGGTACGGACATCGGTTGATGGATCGTGATGAAACTTTCCATGCATGTTGGGGCAAGTATTGGCTATCATATGGTATAAGAAACTTGACCAGGTCAGGTCAGGTCACGGAGCTATGACGTCACAAGAGGAACAGCGTCCGGTACTATTTTTGAAAAGCGCCCGAACCACTATTTTGCTAATTTTTGTCACCTCAATGGGAATATGCAGCAATATTAGCTTCTATAGGGAGCAAATGGACCTCCCAAATCCAAAAATACAATCAGATTTCAAAAATTTAAATTTTGATTTTTCGAATTTCTGCCGCCGACTGTGACCTTGCCGACTTCCGGCGCTCCCAACGCGCCATTTTTAGAGCTAGGGAAACGAAATACATACCAAACGATAGAGAATTGATCAAGGAACACTATAGTGAAGGTTTCAAGTCGATATCTCTCACCGTTTTGCCGCAAACGCCGCGGAAAGTTGAAAAAAAGTCTATTTTTCCGAAAATTTGACCTTTGACCGGTCAAAAGTAGGTCAAATGTTGACCTAGGACCAAAAAATATACCACCAATCGCGAGATCTCGGCGAGAGCAATCCGTTGGTCTTTTCCGCTAAGCTCTACGACGCTCCGTTTTCAAACGCCATGGGGGGGTCGCACCAACCCCCCCCCCTGCATGGGCGAAGGTGGCAGATCGCCGTTTACGGGCGAGGGTTAAGGCCCTAGATCATCGGTCGACCTTCCAGGTCAGGTAAATGACCCAAAAGTCGGGGAAATCAGGACCTATCAGAACGTCGTATAGCATGGCTGCTATGTGTTTTTTTTTTGGGGTGCAGATCACGAATATCATGTTATAGTTATGCCATCATACATGATGTCTTCATGCATTTAGGCCAAGTCGGGTCAGGTCAGATCAGGTCACTAGTAAGGGTTTTGCCGGGTATTCGTAGTAGGTGTTAACCGCCTCTGAAGGCCTCGTAACGTGTTACGAAGGCACCAAGACTAAATCGTAAATGTCAAATTAATGCTAAATGTGAATTCAGGTCCAAAAACTAGCCCAGAAGCCAGAAACATGAAAAATTCAAAAAAACTGAACCGAAGTCATCAAAGGTCAATGACCTGACCTGACTTTCCGGTGACCTTGACACCCACCCTAATGCCATGGGAGCAACATAATATCCCGCTCCCCGCTGGGGGTCCTGGATTTCCACACCCTGTTGGGGGGGGGGGGTGTTCGAACAGGGTTCCGGACAAAATATCGAAATTCAAAATATCGAATCGCAAAATATCGAAGGTAAAATATCGAAGTGACAAAATATCGAAAGCAAAATATCGAAATGGAAAAATATCGAAATGGAAAAATATCGAAGTTGCGAAATATCGAAAAGCAGAATATCGAAATGGCAAAATATCGAATCGCAAAATATCGAAATCGCAAAAAATCGAATAGCATAATATCGAAGCTGCAAAATATCGAAAGACAAAATATCGAAAGACAAAAGATCGAAAAGACAGGATATCGAAAGACGAAATATCGAAAGGCAAGATATCGAAAAGGCAAAATATCGAAAGACAAAATATCGGAAAGACAAAATATAGAATGCATAATATCGAAAAGACAAAATATGGAAAGCGGAATATCGAAAAGACAAATTATCGAAAGCAGAATGTCGAAAAGACGAAATATCGAATGCTAAATATTGAAAAGACAAATTATCGGTAAGGAGAATATCGAAAAGACAAAATATCGAAAGTAGAATATTGAAAAGAATCACTGATGCACTGACATTTCCGACACTTCTTTCTTTGAAATGAAAAAAACATCATAGGCTGTGTTGCTGTTGGGCTGGGTTAAGTTGGGCTCAGGGCTGGGTTAGGCTAGATTAGGTTAGGTTAGGTTAGGTTGGGTTAGGTTTCATTAGGTTTGATCAGGTTTGATTATTATTTTAGAACAAATGCAACTGTTTCCCTCTAATGAAACGCCAATAACGGGAAGGGTTGAATCAAGTTATGGCTTAGTTGTCCACTGGTTCAGCGGTTTACTGGTTAACTTGCCATCGGTTCATCTGTGACTGGTTTAGTTGTCACTGGTTCAGTTGTCATGGAATAAAGTTTTAGTGCCTCGTCAATTATCCCACCCTGGTGCCGCCTATGCCTTCGTTTTTTTATATTTCGCTTTATCGATATTTTGTCTTTTCGATATTATGCATTCGATATTTTGCCTTTTCGATATTATGTTTTCGATATTTTGTCTTTTCGATATTTTGCATCCGATATTTTGTCTTTTCGATATTTTGCTTTCCATATTTTGTCTTTTCGATATTTGGCGTTCGATATTTTGTCTTTCGATATTTTGCCATTTCGATATTTTGCAACTTCGATTTAGGTATGCGAGTCGATATTTTGCTATTTCGATATTTTGCGATTTCGATACTATGCGACTCGATATTTTGGGATTCGATATTTTGCGTTTCGAAATTTTGTCATGAAATCTCAACAATCGTTTGAACACCCTCCCCCCTTTTAACTCGGCTCCTGGGCCACGTAGTGTTACGCGGAAAGAGCGCCAGAAATAATGACGAAATCACTTCGGGTCAAAGATCAGGTCACCATAGGTCATTGAAGGCAAAATTTCGCCGATTTTCAGGTCGAATGTCGACAATTTCCAAGAAGCCAACGCATAACTCAAGAAACCCCTCCCAACACAGCTCACATCACGGAGGTCAGCATGTGAACATGCAAGTTCATTGACCTGTTACACTACGGCGGTCCGTTCTGTACTGGTTTATTGAACCGCGGCCTCGGCTCAGGCCGTGCGCCGCGGGCCGAGTCAGGGGCGGCGCCAGGTATAGCGACACATGGGCCACTGGCGCAGCCAGCGGTGGGGCAATCTACTACATCCCTCCACCTCAGGACAAAACATGACACTTTT